GGGTGGAAGAGAGGTGAGGTTCTACCGGAAGCCAAAGCGGTGAACGTTATCCGCCTAGTCCAACGTCCAATGACTCAACTGCCTCGGGGCTATTCTCAAGCGACGTCGTTCGAAACTGTAATTTCCGGGAAAATCGCCGGACGACGATGAGCCGCGGGCCACTACACACTGGGTACCGGGGGCTCTTTGTGCAAATGTTGACTGTCTTCTCGTACGTGCAACGGCTCGATTCATGGTCCCTACATTGTTTTTCTATAGTCCATTACGACAATGATAATGCAGTGGGTTTTTTTAGGAAGGAGAGGAAAAAGTTAATCGAGGATGGGAGGGAGTGGATGGGTTTTGAAGGCTGTTGTCTGCAGGTTTGTCGTTGTTTGATGGTGGAAATGATTGACGTTTTGGAAATGATTGGCGTTTTGGAGGGTTTTGTTTTTTGATGGAAACTGGAATTTTATAGGTGGGAGGAGTGTCTAAAAGATCGAGATTTAGTTTGATTTTAGGCGGACGAGCGTGTGAAATTTGATGTTTTAGGTGAAGTGAAAGGGAAATTTGACATGAGAAGTGATATTCATTGTCGAATTTATTGCGGAAGTTTGTAGTTTAGTTGAGTTGAAATTTTTTAGACAGAGACAAAAAAGTTTTGATTTCTTTGTAATTTGTGGGCATCCATTACCAAATGTCAGTGATAAAAGTTACTGATAATTTTCTTGAAAATCAGTGACATGTCCCTGAAATTCAAAATTTGTTCATCTCTGTGTACCAGAAATGCCATTTGTTAACAATTTTCGGAATTCAACAAAAAAAGTCGATGTCATATTCATTGTCCCATTTCCATTTGTCCGTTGAACAACTTTGAATTTTTCTCAAAATTTCAATTAATAAAATGATTTTTCCGCTTTTTTAACGGAAATTGCTTAATTTCATGCCTTCCCAACATTAATTTCAGAATATTTTAACCTCGAATGAGCCCAATCTATTAAAATTAATGAAATACATTATTTTCTGGAGATGAGAAAAGGTTTCTATAAATTAGAAACATCTATGTTGGAACCCCCAATTTCTACAAAATATTTTTTCCTCTAGAAACAAGGATTCTTTCTTCTCCGTGATATATTTCACCCCTTTTTGCGAGGCTTTTCTCAGAATTTTTTTTTATCGTCGAGGGAACATCGGGGGTTTCTTTGAAAAAAATGGAGCCGTAAACACGCGTGTTTAATGGTGCACCTAAGCACAAGGTAAAAGCACCGTCGAGGCGACACTTGACTTACATTTTTTCAGCCCCTGAAATTTTTTCTCTCTTCGGTCTAATACACTACGGTTTTTATTTCTCCACCGTTGGAAATCCCGTCTACACTACCCGAGGGCGTTGTTTCGACGATCGTGAATCACCCAGGCTAGGGTTAACTCTCAACGCACTACTATATTTTCCCGAAAAGCAAACATAATAAGTCTAGCTCTTTTCCTGCCAGTTTTCATCCTTCACCTTTTGTATGTTCTCTCTTGGTTTATTTTCAAGATATTTTTCCACTCGTGGAACACTCACACATACAGCGATGGGGAGAACTGGAAAGGGTTCACGCGGGAGAGAGGACGTGGTCGAGCGCCCTCCAGTGGACAGTCGAGGAATGGGTTCAAATAATGAAAGCCCCCACTGTACCCAACCGACAAAGGGACTTTATGAAGCTCGTATATACGTGCTGCGGTTGCTTCTCGAAATTTCCCCGACTCTTGTGAAATTTCCAACGGTACTCGCATTGCATACCTCCTGTCCCCGTAGTACCGCCCAGTCGCTTGGGTTATACATGTACTCAACACTGAAATGTCATTGTAACCCCCTGTTCATGCCTTTTTCCCCATTTAGAAAAGCCTATGTCGTGCATGAACTTTGAGAGAGAATTATTGAAAACCTGGAGTTATTGTGGAGCGAAATTAGTTCAGGATTTTTTTGAATCTATATCGAGGGGGAAAATGTTAGAAGAATAGTGAATGGTGAAACTTCGTCGTTTAGAATTCATGATTTGATGGATAAATCAGTGGAAATTGGAAATTTGAGTTCAATTAACCCTTAAATTGATCAAAATTCACATGAAGTGGGGTAATTCATGTTCTCCTGCCCCTCAAAATTAGGAATCTCATTAAGGATATCTAACTACTTTGGCTAATTTCCAAATTAACTCTTCTTTTTGGGCTCAAATGAAACAGCGAGTCTCGAAATGGCGTGCAAATGTCTCTAAAGACGGTTTTGAATCAGGGGAGACTCCTAGACCCCACTGGACAATGTTGTCACAACTCTGCTTTTCAATTGAAAACAGACATCATCTTTAGAGACATTTGTCATGTTTAGAGGCCCTAGCACGCCATTTCTCGACCCGCTCTTTCATTTGAGCCCAAAAAAACATTCATATCTTGTCTGACATCGTTGCTACAAACTCGGG